GGGTGGTGTGTTCTTTCAAGCATATGTTTTTGTCTGTTGTGTGAACAATTATTGAAAGTTCAATCATTTGATTATGCATACCAAACCTGCCATAAAACAGTCATTGATTTGCCTTCATTTCATAAAGTTGACTTCGGGAAACAAAATGCTGGATGTCTTAACTGAAATGTCAGGCCTAAACTAAATAGTGATGGCCATACAGCCATTGAGCAAGAGGTGAGAAGGCATTACATATGAATAACATTTGAGGACCAGATTCTCTACAGACTGTATAGTGCTGCTGATGCCTTTTTGCTGGAATGTTCCCATGATGGCCTTATACTGATTGATAGTGCCTATTCCTTTAGTCCTTAATTTTCAACATTGTCTTTACAGTTTTATATACAGTAAGCATACTTTGTAAACCTGGTCACTTGGCCATTTTATACAACTTGTCTGTAGGATTGCTGGATTTCCTCTCACTTTGAGAAACAATTCTTACAGTCGTTCTGGTTCTATGTAGAGCATCACTGATATTAACTTTCACAATGTCTGTGCAGCACATGAGTTGTTAATGAACATGTTTGAAACTAGCAGCACACATGCTTGTTAATTAGGATGAGGTGCCTTTCTTTAATGGGGTAAGATATACACTACTGTTCAAACGTTTAAGGTTAGTAAGTTTTTGTTTTATTTATTTATAAAGAAATAAATACTTTTATCCAGGAAGGACACTTTAAATTGATCAAAAGTGACAATGTTTTTGTAAAAATGTAAAAGTTTTTACCCTATCAAATAAATACAGTTCTTTTGAACTTATTCATGAAAAATGCATCACAGTTTAAACTGCTTTTAATATTGATAAGGAAATGTAGCTGAAAATTCGGCTTTGCCATCACAGAAGTAAATTACATTTTGTAATTTGCATTAAAACAGAAAAGGTATTTTAAATTGCAATATTTCACAATATTACCGTTTTTACTGTAATTTTATCAAATAAATGCAACCTTGATGAGCATTAGAGACTTCTTTCAAAACCATTAAAAATCTTACCAACCCCAAACTTTTAAAATGTAGTGTTTTAAAACTATTTTAGAGGGATATAAAATCTTATCTTTTTACAGACATTCCCTTTGTATTTAGATTTTTGTTTCTTTGTGTTATCTTGAATCCTCACGACATTGTTTGCATGGCCCCTGAAAATGGCCATGAAGGACATTGATTTTGCTGAAACACGATCGGAGAGATCACAATCAGAGTTGCATACATCTTTTTTTTTTTTTTACATTTGTGCAAGAAAGCAGTTGATAAGCAATTCCAGTGTATCTAAACACCCACAAAGAGATAGTGCCCTTTAGTATCAAAGAAGTTGCCTTGATTTTGAAGTATTTTTGCTATGTTATATATCAAAACACATGAACTTGTTCTGTAATACACATTTGTTTTTAGTACAAACTGATTGTTACATGAAATTTGCAAGTGCACCATATTGATTATACACATTAGCGATTACGCTTTAAATAGAATTTCACAAGTTATATTTAAAAATGTTTATAGTTCACATATTCGATTAATTGCCTTAAATGTATTCATTGGCTTTGATTGTTCCGAAAGACTTTTTTTTTTTGAAGGTCCCTCCCTAACTGTCAATCAATTTTGATTACCAGACATCCTGAGGTCACAATGTAGCATGTTAATCCAAAGATATTTATATGCATTTTTATGTACCGCAGATTACCTTTATATGGGGAATCAAGAGCTAGATTAGAAATTCTATATTAAATTGCGTTTACTGGTGGTAAGCAATACTTCAATTTTACATCTCTATAGTTCTGTATGTTGGTTGTAAAAAGAAATACTGAATCTGTAGTAATGTCACCAGCTCATCTTTTCACCTGCTCTTGTTTTCTGTTCAGACAGGAAACTGTTAAGCATTTTTGTATGTCAAATGAAAATAGCTTCTGTGTCAGAAATGTATGAAGGCATGACATCTTGAATAAAGATATCTCCTGTCCACTAACACAACTTTGAAGTGGCATATGAGTGAGTGGGCCGTAACATTGTCAGTCTTCTGAAGTTATGAAGAGTGAATAATGTGCTGCAACTGGAATGAACATCCCTTTTCTGCCACTTGCTTAATGTACCAGTTTTTTTTTAAAATTTATTTATTTTTTGACAGCTTTGTATCTGATGCATCTGTAATTAGCCACAGAAGAGCCAAACAAGTTCTCTCTCCTTGTTAGGCTGTTCTGATGCTCTGGATGTAAATTTCAGGGTTTAATTTTGTTCATATTAAAGACGGATGCATACAAGTATGATAGAAAGATAGATCGATAGATAATGTTATAACCAGTGTTGGGGAAAGTTACTTTTAAAAGTAATGCATTACAATATTGCGTTACTCCATAAAAAAGTAACTAATTACGTTACTTTTTATGGAAAGTAATTCTTTACGTTACTTTTGCGTTACTTTTTAAATCTGAACAGGGCTTGCTTGTTTGTTTTTAAAATAAAAAAAAGTTATATTTTTGGCAAATATAAAAGCATTTTCACACCAAAATTGAAATGAATAAGCCTCATGCTGAAGGGAAAGTAAATTTACGTCCGTACAGTAGAATGCAGAAGAAATTTCAACACACTTCAGCAATAAAAAAGACACACAAATGTTTGTCTAGAGTAATTTTTGATTATTAGTATGGTTGAAGTGCATCATCGAAGGTCAGAAGCAAAGACATTGGTTAATAGAATGGGATTAAATACATAAAGGATATTTCTGTTGTTTAACATTTAATTATTGCAGGTTTGCGTCATATTCTGAGTTGCATTTTTTTTATTCATTTTGAGGAATACTGAATCTGTGTTTTTTTTTTGTGAGATACTGAATCTTTTTTTTTTTGTGGGTGAGATGAATTAATTCATATTCATATTTATTTTAGAACTATAGTAACATCTGATTTCTCTCAACATGGGGACAGGAGAGCTGTCAATCAATAAATTGAAAGAAAAAGTAACTTATTTGAAAAAGTAACTCAGATAGTCTCTTGTAAATTAAAAAGTAATGCGTTACTTTACTAGTTACTTGAAAAAAGTAATCTGATTACGTAACTCGCGTTACTTGTAGTGCGTTACCCCCAACACTGGTTATAACTAAAGAAACATCTTAACATTGTCAATGAAATGCCTACACCCAAATAATGCTACTCTAAATATGATATTTTGGGTTGGCAACAAATGGCACAGTAATTTACTGTGTTAATATTGGCCTACTCCATGTACAGCTTTGGGGATGTGCCTGTGTGTTTGGGAATGTTAACTCATGGACACTGTTGACCTAATTTAGCTATTCCCCAAATAGTGCTTTCAGCAAAAGGGGCTTTGTTCAAACTAGGTCCTTTTTCAGTGCATTTTCAGTAACGTTTTTCTAAAGGTACCATTGTGATTTATCTGTTCACTTACACATTTGCCTATAGATCTTTTGACAAGTTTGGAATGGTTTGGAACTATCCCTCCAAGAATGCACTTCATTTCATAGAAGGAAAAAAAAAACCTAACATTAGGAATTCAATGTATGGTAGCCAATAGCATATATGACTCGCTTGTCGACATAATTGTATGTAAAAAACACAATCCACTAGAGGGCGCTAGTTACTCATATAACACAACCAATACTGGTATGTATTTTACCAAGCATCATCAAGTTATATGATTTGAAAATGTATATTTTATGTTGTCTTAATTTCAATATGTTGGGTCTGAATAAAAAGATTAAAAAAAAAGACAAACATCGCATTTATTCAGACCCTATATTCCAGCAGCCCTGGAATGTGCTGGAAATGGCTAATGGTGATTAAACATCAGAAGTTTCAGGCAACCTTGGCCTGACCTGCTAAAAGTCTAAAAGTGATGAATAATCTCACAAAACCCAAGTCTGATGGAAAATCCATACAGAGCTGCAAACAACTTAAAGCAGCGCAACAAGATTCTGTGCGCACACAAGATTTTCTCACAAGAGCTGACTATTACGGAATCAATGATCATTGAGTGATAAATGTCTCAGAGGCCAGAATTAACTGATCCTCAACTCTTTAGAAATAAAACAACACAGCCTTGATGCACAAAACATTTGTTTATCAGACCGGTAAATATTAACAGGCTGTGTAGCTCTACATTTTACAGTGTAGACACCTTTCTGGAACAATTGTACAGACAATTGTACAAATGTATGACAATTCCATTTCTCCATTAAGTTGCTTGTCCAGAACACAGCATTAACCCATAAAGAGGCATGCTGGGTAATTCATGAGACCATTTTCTCTAGAATGGCTCTGATTTGGACCGGGTCAGTTCTGCCTTTGGTTTCTCTCTGAACTTCACCCATCAATTTGTTCAGTACTTTCTTATTACCCCCTCTGATAATCTGAACCTGCAACAACCAAAGTTAATTTCCAAAAATTATTGCATAAATGATCAAAGATGGCAAGCAGTTGATTTTATAAACAAACAAACAATAAATAAATATAGTTTAAAAGTTTTATATTTAGTAATAATATTACATATTTGTGCTAGCACAAAATATTTAAAGACAAACTGAGTTTTTAAGGTGAATTAACATTTGGATTTACCTCCTCAGGGTGACTGTTCACAATCCTCTTACAGATCTTTTGTAGCTCTTCTTTGTCATTTATCATCCACAAATCCTGCTCCTTCACTATCTGGCCCACTGTCTTCTCTGGAGCCTTCCACATCTCCTGGAAAACCTGTGCTCATCACATACAAACACAAAACAGGCCTGTGGTCTAAGGAAAACCTCACACAATATAGCTTTATACCTGACAATTGTTCTGGCAAACAAATTCTTATTATTAGCACAAATGAAAGGTTTTTTTCCAGATTTTTTTTTTCCCACTTACTTGCTTGGCAGTTGAAGATGAGATATGACCAGATTCTACAAGATTGATCAGCTCAGCAAGAGCACATGGAGAGATGGGACTGAGAAAGAGAGGGAGAGATTAGAAAGAGAAACAATATATTAATATATAATATATAATATTATATATTAATATATAATTAACATATATTTTATTTAAATTTATGTTAAATTTATGTTTTATTATAATTTATGTTCTAATTGTGAATTAAAGTTGCAATTATGAGAAACAGCTGCAATTGTGATATGAAGTCAAAATGAGAAACAGTCGCAATTGTGAGATAAAGGCAATAATGAGCAGTCGTAATTGTTAGATAGTGATAGATAGTGACAAGAAATAAAGTTGCAATTATGACAATTATAAGAAGTGATTGTGACATTTATGAGAAATAAACTTGCAAAAGTTATGATAATTTTTCTTTTTGAGGCAAAATGGAAAATCATAGCACTTTAAACTGGACAAAGTAAAAATGCAGTTGGAATTATTATTAGGATTAGAGTGCCTGATGGGAAATGTGCACTGTTGGGAAATTACTTTGGAAATGCAATAGGTTACCCTATTTAAAATGTAAATGTTCAGATGCAACCCCCCTTTGTAATCGTTAACATTTTCATAAGTAACTCTAATTTAATCACACATTTTTTTCTCAGTAAGTGTAACAGATTAGTTATATTTATTTTGTAATTAAATTACGTAATTCTGTTACATGTAACAAGTTACTCCCCAACACTGGAAATGTGTGCCATAAAACAAACATGCACAGATTGAATGTGGACTTCCTCACCACCAGTGTGAAGCTGTGCTCTTGCAGGATGTCATACGTCTCCACTAGCCTTGTCCTTTTCACAGACGGCAGCTCTGGCAACTGGCCACTCAGCCTGTCAATCACCACAACCTGGGCAGGGTCAACGCCAGCAGGCACTGAAGCTTCACTCTCATAAACAAACAGTGGCGGCAAGTTGGGCTCTGGCATGAACCTGAGAGATAAAGAGAGAGAATGTATGTACATGCGACACAGCAGAAGGCGTGACTCAGGCAGGTCATGTGGGGAAACACAAGAGCGTGTTCTTATCAGGTGCAGCGATAAGCCAGCATTTGTTGTGTTCACACAGCGTGTGTGCCATCTCATGGCCTAATCTCCAGCCCTCTCTGTCTCTCTGTCACACCCCTCTCATATATCTCTTCGACCTGAACCAGCCACACATGTACAGCCACTGACGGTCTGAAGGCGTCCGCTTCGGTGGCGGCCCATCGGAAGCACGGGTGACTCAGCCCTCTTAAAAATGAATGTAACAGTTAAGTGATAAAACGAACTGCTGTTTTAATCCATTTCAAATGTGCATAACTCACATGCATATATATTTTTCATGCATCATACTG